AGGCTCATGCAGGACCAAGCCCAATAGTAGACCTAGCCCTGCTGTTACATTGAAAATCCTATCCCATAAGAAGTAGCAGACACTGACTGCCAAGCTACACATGAAGGGAAAAAAGTAGAGAGCAGTAGGAAGAATCAAGACAGATGACAATTTGGAGAGCTACAAAAGCACTCAAGGAAATAGAATCCAGCCCCAGCTGGTATTAGTCCTGTCCCTGCAGAAGTTACTCAGAGAAACCTTATAACTTACTCTTGAGGTTTCTGCTCATCAATAAAGGAAAAGATATCAAAACATTAGTGACTGGGGAATTTTTAAAAGGCTAAAGGCCCTAAGATATAAAGAGAAGAATCTTTAATAAAATCTCAACGCACAGGCAGGTAAATCAAAAGAAATCATCATAAAAACAGAGGGAAGAACGGGCAAAACCACAGAGAGAACAGAAAGCTCTCCTAACAAATATTATACCATGTGGTCAAGTGAACCAATAGTACGTGACGAAAGAAAGAATCCTGTGAACTCCACAGAGAGCATAGATGAATAACAAGAAACTATGAAATTGTTCAAAAGAGAAATAAAAGCCACAGAACAAGAAATCAGGAATGAATATACCAAAAATAGAACTGTCAACATAGAATTTTTAAAAAACATAGCTGAGGGGGGTTAGGGCAGGAAACGGACCGTGATGGATAATCTATCTAAATAGGTGCAAGATTAAGTGATTTGGAAAACCAAAAAACAGAAGAAGAAGAAGAAGAAGAAGAAGAAGAAGAAGAAGAAGAAGAAGAAGAAGAAGAAGAAGAAGAAGAAGAAGAAGAAGAAGAAGAAGAAGAAGAAGAAGAAGAAGAAAGAGCCAGGGCTTACATACTACATTTTGTCATCAATTTTGATCTTTGCTCTAACAAGTTAATGGTCTGTCTATACACAGATATAACTTATTTTGAAATGATTCCAAATTTGGATTCCCAGTTTCCTGTCTGTTGAGATATCATCAATTTCCTTTTTTGTGTGATTTTTAAAAAAGCTATCTATGGTGTCCAATGTCTCCCAGCTCTTTTCTTATATAAGCATTCATGATATATAGATATGAGGCTTCTGTGTAGTTTGCAAACCTTTGGCCTCTTCTCTTCCTTGATTTTTCTAGGCCATATTTTTCAACAATTTCTACCATCCTTCCCCATGGCCATCTTAGTTCTGAAATCATTGAGCATTAAAATATTTGTTTAATTTAGAAGATTTCATCAGGTTCCCTTTTTTTTTTCTCCTTCAGGTTCTTAAGGAGTTTTTCTATCTGCAAATACAAAGATAAGAAAAACAGAACAAAACAAAAACCAGATATTGAGCTGGCATAAAACTTGAAATTATCTTTATAATAACATTTTTGATTATGATTATTGTAAGGCAAGATGAACAAGTATCCCAAGAAATGATTTTTTTTCTTAACTTTGAACATATGATAAGAGCAATTTCTGCCAACTCTTTCATTTGTTTATCCAACGGAAGCCTATGAGCCATCCTTCCATGTAATTGCAGTTTCCTTTTGTCTCCTGCTTTCATTTATAGAGAGAATATTAATTCATCTGATGTGGTTATAAAACGAGGATCTCATATTTAAGTCTACCATTTTTGTAGATAGTGTAAAACTTGTGATTGTTAGCATTCCCCAGACCTTTTCTGCTACCCCCCCCCCCAATATCACTACAGAAAAGCAAGGGAGCTGGATAGGATTAGGAAACATTTTTTATTTTTCTTTGTTCATGGGCTGGGCAGCCAACTGATGATGCGTCTTTCTATACTTAGCTAGGCTGGTCCTTGGGAAGCAGAGACAGTCTGTCACTGGAACTTTACAATTTGTATTATAGTTCTCTTTATGTGTCATATCTCCCCTACTCAGTCGTTAGCTCCTTTGGGAGCAGAGAATGTGTCATACTTTTCCTGAATATTTTTCTCATTGCCTAATACAAAGACTATTTCATAGTTGGTGGATAATAAGTTTTTGTTGAATTAAAATTCAGAAAGTAGGGACCACCTGCAATCCTGCTCACTCTCTGGTATCCCAAGATAATTATCTACTTCCTAGGAATATAGGCTGTGGCTAATCATTATATGGCTTCAAGTTATACAATGCCACAACATTTGAAGAATTAACAATGAATATTACTCAAAGGACAATGGAGGAGTACAAGATGGGTGTGAACAACATATTAAAAATGGGCAGCTAGGGCAGCTAGGTGGCACAGTGGATATAGCACTCAGACACTAGCTGTGTGATCCTGGGCAAGTCACTTAATCCTGTTTGCCTCAGTTTCTTTATCTGTAAAATGAGCTGGAGAAGGAAATGGCAAATCACTCCAGTATCTTTGTCGAGAAAACCACAAATGGGATCATGAAGGGTTGGACATAACTGAAGAACAACACAACAACAATAACACATAGTGAATGAGGTACAACAAAGGAGAGCTGGAGTAAAGGTTTTCATCAAAGAAATAAATATATGATAGAAAAAAGGTGGATTGTTCATCTGGTGAAAATGAGGGAAAAATTGGGTAGACTTTCTGAAGGAGATTCATGGGAAGCCATGAACAGGAAGACCAGGCAGGGGGAAGGGGCCATCTGCATTGTTGGGGAGAACAACAATAAGTGAGACTACAACCATTTAAGTATAAGCCCAGACTTTTCATCAGTTCACAGTGCTAAGGGAGGCCAGGGTCATAGAGCTTATTCCTAGGTGGCCCAGTTACTGACCCAGATCACAATACATTAACTTCAGCCTGGTCATGCAGAAAATTACAGCCTTTGGTTACAAAAAGATCAAGACAAGTAAACATTGCAAAAGAGATCTAAATCCATCACCCCATTTGAAAAACCATCCCAAGTACATAAATCGCTGACAAATAGTTACAGAAGATGGCATTTTGCTACAAATAACCCAAAGTGTATATGTGGATTGCACATGGAATCATATGCATGTGTGTATGTATAATTGCGCTCTCAGAGCTGGAAGGGAGCTCAGATCAACCTGTACCTAAGTGGAAAGCCTTCTCTACAACATGGTTGCCAAATGGCCATCCAGCCTTTCAGGCAATCCTGCATACGACTGCCAAAGGGATTTTCCTTAAACACAAATCTAACCCATGTCACTTCCCTACTCAGTAAACTCCACTGGCTTCCTATAGCCTGTAGGATCAAATATAAACTCCTCTGTTTAGTTTGCAAAGTCTTTCACAAACCCGCCCCAACCTATCTTTCCAAGCCTCATTGGACGTTATTCCCTCTCCTGTACTCTCTGATTCCAACCAAACTGGCTTTCTCTCTATTCCTCACACAGGAATCATTTCATTTATTGTATGTGTAACCCTAACACCCAGTACAGTACCTGGCACAAAACAGGCACTTAATAAATGCTTTGTTAATTGATGGATTGAAGATCCTCAGTGATGGAGAAACTCCTTACCTCCCAAAGCCACCCATTCCACTTTGAGACAGCTTTATTTTTCAGGAAGGACATCTTGTTCTAGAGCAGAAATCTGTGTCTCTGCAATGTCTATCCATTGATCCCAATTCATAAGATCATAAATATTGAGTTGGAAGGGACTTTAGAAGACAGGGAATTAGAGGACTTTAACGGACAGAAAGGTTGTGATCTGTGTATAGTCACACAGAAAAGTGTGAGAGCCAAAGTTTGAACCCAGGGCCTATGACTAAAAAAGCAAAACAAAACAAAAAAACACACATACACAAAAACCTGATCCCTCTCCTGATCCTTTATGTGGGCCAAGAAAAATAAAACTAATCTTTCACACCCTGTTTTCACCTTCCCTCTTTTTGTTGTTGGGTCTTTTTTTTTTTTTCATTTGTGTCTGACTATTCAGGACCATGTTTGGGGTTTTCTTGGCCAAGCTACTGGAGTGGTTTGCCATTTTCTTCTCCAGCTCATTTTTGCAGATGAGGGACTGAGACAGAGTTAAGTAACTTGCCCAGGGTTGCACAGCTAGTCGTTATATGAGGCCAAAATTAACTCAGGAAGATGAATATTCCTGACTCCAGGCCTGGCACTGCATCCACTGTGCCACCTAGCTGCCCTTACTACCCCTCTACCATTTGGTCTATATGAGGTCAAAATTTAACTCGGAAGATGAGTCTTCCTGACTCCAGGCCTGGCACTGCATCCACTGTGCCACCTAGCTGCCCTTACTACCCCTCTACCATTTGGTCTATTCAACACAGTAGGTGTAAGGTAGATGGGGTTAGGCTACATAAAATAGGGACAATGATAGTATTTACTTTACAGGGTCATTGTGAAGGATAACTTTCATAAAACACTTTGCAAACCTTAAATCCCTACATAAATGCTAGTTATTTTTATTATTACTCCAGCAGTCTCCACCTGCTAAGCTACATCAGACAAAAGAAGAGTTCCAACACAGAACTGCACCACGCCCAAAAAAGTTATCTGTAAACTATCCCTACTCTCTATCAATGCCAAGTGTCCCCCACATCCATCTCTGTCCGACCCTTTGCTATTTGTCTTTTTTCTCTTCTCCATGTGGTGAGCTCCTTCCCATTCTTCCTAACTTTTCACAGTGGCTAATACAAACGCTTGTGATCTGACCCTAGAACGTTGACCTAAGGAAGAGGCAGCTCTGAATGAGACAGGGGCTGGGAACTGGGGGACAGGAGTGGGAAGGGGAAAGGGAAACGGGCCGGAGAGGTTGCCGAGGAGAGAAACATTTTTGTCAGCCCCCACCTCCTCCACTCCTCCATTTCTTCTGCATCTGTAAGGTTTCCCTAGGCAACATCCCGGCTGTCCCACACTCAGGCGTGATCTGCTCTGTGTGCCCTGAATTAAAAAAAAAAAAAAGCCAAATGCCAAACTCCAGAACACAAAGGCTGTCTGCTGAGTCGTTCCCCCCCTCCCGCCCCCCGAGAATGTCCTCCTTGTGAAGCTGAGTGGAGGAGGAGGGAGATGGAGAACTGAAGAGGGGCGTGGGGAAGAGACAGAAGTCGGTGCCATAGGGGTTCGAGTGTGCTCGGGCTTTAGCCAGGAAGGAAATGCCCCGAAGCAGTCAGCCTGCTCGTACTGCACAGACTGCTCGGGGGCTCCTAGTCTGAACATCAGGCTGACCAAAGTGCCCCTTCCTTGACCTCTTGGGGTGGGAGGAGAAGCTGGGGCGGGGGGAAAGGGGTGGCAGGGAGGAAGGTCGATGTGCAACAGAGGAGAGCGACCGATCTCCGTCTCTCTGGGCTCAGAATCTCTGTAACCAGAGAACCTGGAGCTCCACCGCCCCTGGTAAGTGAGGGGCTGCAGGGAGCGAGGGGGGAGAAGGCATGCACCCTGCCGTGACACTAGCACGAACCCGCACCCACCTACCCACCCACCCGCGCCTTCCACTGCAGGGAGGCGGGGCAGCCAGCGTGGCACAGTGATGGGGCGGGGACTCTGGTGGAGAAAGGTGTGTGTGACTTCCAAGGCCCAGCTGGGAGCCACGCTTCGGGGGCTGGGACTGGGCTGCAGCTTCCCTGCGCAAAAGAGGAGGTGACCTCCAGACAGGTCCACTCCCGAGGCTGGGCAGTTCGCTCCTGAGGAGGGGCCAGCTTTGCCAGGGGGAGCGGGAAAAGCAGCCGAAACCTGAGACGTACATGCCCGTGTGCTTGCGTGTGCCCGAGTGTGCTTCCCTCCCATCTGTTTACTGACGTCTGCAATTTGTCCTTGCACGTCTGTGTTGTGTCCCGAGCTTGTGGTTTATATCATTGTGACCCTACTGTCTCGCACCTTCCTTTCTACCCTGAATGTGTGTGTGTGTGTGTGTGTGTGTGTGTGTGTGTGTGTGTGTGTTAAATCCCTTATTCTTTAGAGATGAGGACCTCGGTTTAAATCCTAATTCTCCTCTTTTCTGCCTTGTGATCAAGGACAAGTATTTACCTTCTCTGAGATTGTTTCCTCATTGTATTAAGTGAAAGGTTTAGACTAATTTTCTTAAGCCCCTTATAACTCTGATCCTGGATGTAAGCACCAAGGAACAATAATTAATTTTCTACAGTGCCCAGTACAGCGTCATATATAAAACAGCATTTAATAAATGCTTTTAAATAGACTGAAAATGTAATTTGTATATGATTGCCTACGAATGAGAGTAGAATTATGTGTGCATGTGTATATGTATGTTTGTGTGTGTGTTTATATTTGTGCATGTGTGGTGTGGCTTGGTGAAAAGTACACTGGTTATGGAGTCACAAGACCTGTGTGGCATTGGGAAAATCACTTAGCCTCTCCAAGCCTCAGTTTCCCCATCTGTAAAATGAAAGGACTGGACCAGATGGTCTTTGAGGTTCTTTCCAGAAATAGTTCTGTGATCCTACTTGCATGTTCGCAGCAATGTGTGCACTTGTATCTGCTGTCAGTAGGCAGATTTTTGTGTAGGTGCCCATATTGCAAGCTGACCAAAGCTCTTTCAGTATAATACAGCTTGTTGGGTGATTGATTGATTGATTGATTGATTGATTCTGTAAAACTGTGAATGAAACAATGGAAGGTTCTGGGGTATGTTTCTATTGTTCTCATTATAAACTCTGAATACAGTTATGGGGGAGAGAATCTGAGCTGTGTGTGGCAGGATCGTCTGCATGATGCTTTGTATGTCATGTGTCCATCGGGTATATCATCGCTATGTGTGTGGTTTACACGATGCTATGGAGGCGTCTACCATATGCTGTGTGTGGCCTGTGTTAGTACTCTCCAGGATCCAGTGTGTAGGAGTTTGGTCTGGAGAGAGTGGTATTTGATCCAGGGTGTGAGCTGTGTTTATATAGTTAATTTGGTGCATGGTATGTAGTTACTATAGATGCTGTTTGGTTGCTGGGGTCTGCTTCTGTGCAAATAGTACAAAAACCTATATTTACCCCTATATCTGATGCTACCTTATGCTACATATGATACCAAACACTTGTACAGAAAGCTTCTCTTTCTGTTGACATGGATAGTGTCTAATTTACCCGTAAATGAAGTACATAAGGAGCATTCTTTACCTTTCATCTTTGGAGCAATAGAAGCACAATTAGGAAAATAACTGACTCAAGGTCACAGAAGAGGAAGTCAAGGGACAGAATTAGCCCTACAACTTCAAGTCCAAAATACCATTCCCTACAACTTCTAGACTTTAAACCTCACCACAACTTAATTAGGTAAGCAGCCCAAGTGTTCCTGTCCCCATTTTACAAATGAGATACATAAAGTCTCAAACATTAGATAACTCACCCATGGATAAGCTGCTCATAAGTGCCTCGGTCAGAATTCTAATCCAGGTGTCTTGACTCCAAGTGAGGCACACTTTTCAGTACACCACACTGCCATGTTGAGTGTTACCATGAGGGTTGAGTCAGTTATTCCATTACACATACGAGAATAGGTGTAAAGGAATCAACAGACTCAGTAGTTGGGCCTGAGGATTGGGTACAGAGTTATCTTCCCTACAGTGCTGAAAACACACAGGAAGTGCTCAATGTACATTTAGTATTTCAGGAGTTCAGTACAGTGGAGAGAACTATACCAAGAGACTTCCTAGGTTCTTTTTGCTTACTCTAGAAGCTACCCATTATATGACATTGGGCAAATCATGTCACCTCTCTACAAAAGGAGGACTTACAGGCAGTGACGGAGAGAGAAATTATGTGTCATCAACTAATACTCATCATGATGAAGGATTAAGGACTTGAAATAGTGCAATAGAAATCACCGAAATAGCCAAACTAACCAATAACTCCTAAAATCATTTGGTTTTGAATATATTGCATTTTTTCCCTAATGGCTTTCTTCTATGAAGATACTTGACTGAAGCTAATATTGAAATGAGTCTGCCTTCCTTGAAGACAACTCAACAGATGAGGGTGTACAGAGGGTAGTGAATAGAGAGAGAAGGCCCAGAAGCTGGAAACCACAGTCATCTTTGCCACTGTCCTCTCCCTTACATGCTATCATCAGTTGCATAGTCATGGCAAGTCAATCTGTATAATATCTTACACTTGTCCCATTCTGCCTTACTGTACTTCAGGTCCTTATCACTTCTCATCTGGACTATTCTAACACACTTATAAGTTGTCCTTTCTGCTTCTAGACTTTACTTCTCCAACTGAGGGGAATAACATGGTCAAAATCATCATAATAGTATAAGGATCTGACCACACTATTCCCTTAATCAGAACCATTAGTCATTCTCCAGGTCTCTAGGATAAAATACAACTCCTTGATCAGGCATAGTCTCATTTTAACCTACCTTTCCATTTATTTCGCATGACTACCTTTCATGCATTTTGCATTTCAATCAAACTAGTCTTTCCCTTTCTCCCTACTGAATACACACTAGACTGTCTTACAGAACTAAAATTCACCCCTTCTATATGTCCATGTTGAAATTCTTCTCATCCTTAAAAGCCTAGCTTAGCTGACACCTTCTCTATGAATCTTCCTTGATTTACCCAATAAAAAAGTAATCTCTCCTCTTAAGTTTGGGTTTGGTCCTTTTGTTTGTTTGTTTGTTTGTTTGTTTGTTTGTTAGTATTTAACCAGGATTTATCTTCCGGCTTTTTTTTCTTCAAAATACATTTTTATTAACATTTTTTATTTTTACATGGCCTAAATTTTGCCCTCTGTATTTCCTTCTTCTCCCATCACAAAAAACCATCTCATATCACAAAAAAAAAAATTTAAAGAAAAAAAGGAAGAGGAAAAAAGCAGCAAAACTTATTAATATATTCAAAATTCCACGTTCTTGGACCCCCTATCTCTGCAAAGGACTGGGGGAAATGTCTTCTAACGTTTCTTCTTTGGGGCCAAATTTTGATGAGGATAGAGGTATTGTCTCATGGTAGAAATGTCCATGTCCCAAGTTCTTTGGACTAGTTCTACCTGCTACCCTCTCTATGATCATTTTCTTCCTCATTTGCCATTCATTATCTTGTGTTCATGCCCTCCCACTCTTCTGAATGCTGGTTGCCCCTAGACAGGTGGAGTTACAATATCATATGGCAATCTGTGCCACCTTTTGCTATTGTCAAGGAAGAAACAACACTTTCTCAAAAGAAATGATCCCCTACGTACAAACTCTTTGCTGATTAGACTCATCACAGGGAATGTACATACATTATGGAATGTATCTTTACTTCCCTAAGTGTTCCTCAGCTGAACCTCCTCCCACCAGCTTAGATGTTCCCCTTTCTTTCACCCTCTTGATTATTTCCAGAACAAATCCAAAGGATTTGGATTCAGTCAAAGGACCACACTTGAGAACCTAGAGAGCCACATGTAGCCTCAAGGCCACAGGTTCCCCACCCCTGATAGACCTAAGAAAGTGATAGGCAAACTGTAATAATGCAGATTAAACTTAAAAGTGTGTCAGACCTACATTTGTTTTTTTGGAAGCTGGTTGTTAAATATTTACCAGTGCATCTCAGCTGCATGTACGCCTATGGTGACTTCCTCTGTAAACTCTGTGTCTGGATAAATGCTTCATAGAAAACCATCCATTTTGCTCAGGCATTAGAAGTAAAGATTACCATGTTGACACTATATTGTTCATAGGGTTTATAAATTTGAACTGATCCTTGAGTTTGACTTTTAAAAGGAGACAAGGACCCACTGAGGAAACAGAGAAATCTACCCCCTCCCTACAAACACACACACACACACACACACACACACACACACACACACACACACACACACACGAGGTAGACATGAAGTTCCCTTAAAAATACCAGAGACAAATACTGGTATCCCCAAAGAAACCCTGGGTTGAGGCAAAATGAGCCACAGAAATTATTACTCAAAGAAGCTGCCATGGCATGTGAGGGGTCAGGGCCCAATTGACATATGAACTCCATAAGCATTTACCAAATATCTCATGTGTCTAGCACTTGCAGAAAGGGGAGAAAAGAAGTGTAAGATATAGCCCTGATTGAATTGGGCCTAGAGTTTAGTTGAAGAGACAAGACTAACACACATGAAACCATTAGAGAGCAATTTGGTGCTAAACTCTGTGGTCTTGATTACAAATGCCATAGGAATTCAGTAAACAGAGAAGTCATTGTAGGCTAGAGAAACCAGAAAAGGCTTTGGGATAGAAGAAGGACAAGCTGATTCTCAGAAGAAAATTCAAATTAATTCAAACAGGCATGCGTACACATGTATAGTACATGTATGTTATATGAATGTGTGACTATGTTTGCATATGTAAATTATCTGTGTATGCATGTGTGTAATTCATTAATAAGTTTAACATTGTATTTAGTCAAATG